TTACAACCCACTAGTGACTTTCCACTCTATTTAGGGTACTCCTGACCCCTATGGAATTCTGTATTATCGCTCCCTGGTACTTTCCCATGCTATTCTTGCATCACTTTACTACAGCCCACTGGCAACCTATGTCTTCCTCAAATGCATAATTTATTTCTGCTGATGGGTCTTTCATCTCACCATTCCCTCTTCCAGGAACACTCTTTCAGTCTTTCAATGGCCCTTTTCATGCCTGATTTCTTTTTTTTTTTTTTTTAAATTGTTTTCAATTTTTTTTTCATTTTTCTTTTATTATTCATATGTGCATACAAGGCTTGGTTTATTTCTCCCCCCTGCCCCCACCCCCTCCCTTACCACCCACTCCACCCCCTCCCGCTCCCCCCCTCAATACCCAGCAGAAACTATTTTGCCCTTATCTCTAATTTTGTTGTAGAGAGAGTATAAGCAATAATAGGAAGGAACAAGGGGTTTTGCTGGTTGAGATAAGGATAGCTATACAGGGCATTGACTCACATTGATTTCCTGTGCATGGGTGTTACCTTCTAGGTTAATTCTTTTTAATCTAACCTTTTCTCTAGTTCCTGGTCTCCTTTTCCTATTGGCCTCAGTTGCTTTAAGGTATCTGCTTTAGTTTCTCTGCATTAAGGGCAACAAATGCTAGCTAGTTTTTTAGGTGTCTTACCTATCCTCACCCCTCCCTTGTGTGCTCTCGCTTTTATCATGTGCTCATAGTCCAATCCCCTTGTTGTGTTTGCCCTTGATCTAATGTCCACATATGAGGGAGAACATACGATTTCTTATCTCATGGCTCTTAGTCAAATACCATCTGCTAAAAAACACCTTCCTGGCCAACTTACTTCATCTTTGTCCTTCCCACATTTCTACTTATGAAATAATTCTGATGATTTTCTTCATAAAGCTTGCCACCATTTCAGATTATGTGTGGTTTTTGTCTGTGTCTTTGCCAACTAGAATGTAAATTCATTGTGGGCATAAACTTCCACTCGCTTTATTCCCTACTACATCCTCTAGGTCTAGAACAGCTTCTGGTATGTTCTAAGCCGTAGAGAGTATGTTTTGAGATGCCAAGTCACATTATAAAGAATCACTAGATCATATTGCAGAACAGGCTTATTTCAAAATGTGCCAATCTAACAGCAACCCACTGTTAATTCCCCTGACTCCTCCCAGAATACAGCAATCTGCACAAGAATCATTTTCCAAAAGAAGAGAGCATCTACGGAAGTTGAAGAAAAAAAATAAAAAGAAAAACTCAGACACACCAGAAAACTCTAGGCTGCTTTCTTTTCATTATAAGACAAGGTTCACGAGAATAAGCATCAGTGCTTGATTCCTTAGAAGTTGAAAATTAGATCAAATGAATTGAAGGACAACTACATCTTCTGTTAATGTTTTCTTCCTCGGATGAAGAAAATGAGATGATGTGAGCCATGACTCCATTTGAAAATGAATCTTTGTATTTCTATTTGCCTCCACGTTAAAGCATACTGTTTTTCATTTTAGACTTTTCATGTTGGTAAATGTTGCAATACTTTACATTCATTAGGCTCAGGTCCATTTACTATTGTGAAAGCAAGACAAGCACAGATATACTGTTTCTATAATGCATAATTTCTAAATTGTATAGTAAATAATTTCTAAACCAGAAACCCAAGTCTCACGACCCTCACCATTATGGTGTTAAAAAAATAAACAAAACTTAGGTTAAAGTTCCCCACTCTTAAAAGGTACAATTTATAGAAAGTCTACTATGTTCTTATTACATCAAATAAATTAATCATTCAGATCATTCATACTCTGGATACCTGACCCTAACTCATAACAGACAAAAATGCTTCAAGAGTAACCTGAGCTAATCAGGTTTTATCTATTTTTTGCAAAGCAATATGCATAAGAAACTTTATTTTTCTAGGAACTCTGTGTTGATTTCTGATGAACTGATTATAGAAGTCAGCAGCAGATCCAAAATAAAGTAATGACTCACAGTGAGATGACAGTGAGCAAGTGTCTTTAAATTTATAATTGCCCTTGGATCTATTTAATTTAGCTTTAAGTCATGAGGCATAATTGAGACAAATGGTTACACTAAGCAGGTATCAGATATGACAAGAAACTGGCTGTGATCGTTTTGTTGCACTATTTCCATTCAAGGACTTTTTTCTGCCAACACTTTTCCTATGATGGCTATTAAATTTTATAGGAGTTTTCCCACCATTAGCTGTTATGGCATTTTTATGTTAAATGCTCACAACAAATGAAAACCATGATTCCATTGTTTCACAGGGTGAAAACCATGGTTACTGCTATTCCAAATAGAGAACAAATCTAAAAAAGAATCAAATAATTCCCCCTCTTTGTATGATACCTATATAAGCTCTGTGGGAAATCCTATTTGCCTTGCAGCTCTTCTATTTTTGAAATGATAGAATTTTGCACATATAAGAAAACTGAAGATCCTGGAATACAGCAAGCAGAAGACACCTCAAATGCTTTTTTGATGTTTTGTTTTGTTTTTGTGGTACTGGAGTTTGAACTCAGAGCCTCAAGCTTACTGGGCAGGTGCTCTACTAATTGAGCCACTCTACCAGCCCTCAAATACTATTTTTGTTGAGGGGATTTGTTTACAATTAAATATAATCTTCCCTCAAGTACATTTAACTAAGAAGTTATCCTTTCCTAAACCTACAAGGGAAAAGCTCACTGGTTATTAATCGTTTTTTTGTTTGTTTGTTTAAATGAAAAAAATATGACAGAACTCTCCAGGACTTGTGTCTAAGGCAATATTAAATCATTAAAACAACATATCAGCAGATATTTAGGATTTCTTAGCCAATTTTCTCCTACTAAAGAATTTAGCAACTTGTTCTGAAAATTTGGGGATTTTATTGTTCTAGATTACTATTTATAAGTAAATAGGTATTCAAGGTCACCTAAGCAAGACATAAGAAACCATATATTTATGGTTCTACAAAACTATTAAGATAAAGAACTCCTTCGTTATTCTAGATCTTTTTAATGGTTCAGCTTGCCTGTCTTTCTCTACCAGCAATAATTTTCCAAGGCACCATCCTCTTCACCTCAAATAGGACTTAATTTTCAGGATTCTCACATTTCGCTCACCAAGTGCCTTCCCAAGAACTGAGTTTTTCTGAGAATACTTCAGAAATGAAACAGCCTCTATATTGTGATAACCAGTATTGTTCTGAGAGTGTTCCAGAAATAAAACAGCTTCCATAGTTGTGATAACCAATATTCAAACTTCTGAGTTTTCATTTGAACTTGACCTTTCCTTAATGTGTATTTAAGTTTTTTCTCAAGTTTCTCCTGCATATATTTTCTAAAGATTTCTGACCCATAAGGGACTCCCATATAACTTGTTTAAATTTATGTATAATTTCTTATTAAAAGAACATCCTTGAAAATTACTTGGGTAACATTTTCTTTTTCAGTATCAAGGACTGAACACAGGGCCTTGCGCATTTTAGGCAAGCATTCTACCACTTGAGCCACACTCCCAGTACTTTATATTTTGTTTTTGAGATAGGTTCTCACTAATCTGGAGGCCAGGGCTGGCCTCCAACTTGCAGTCCTCCTGGTTTCTGCCTCATGAGTAGCTGGTATTACAAGTGTGCACCACACACTATTAGAAACTGCTAACTTAAAAGTCATTTTGTCATTGTTTTTTTCTCTCCTTTTGTCCTAATTCCCCACTTCCCGTAGCCTATACTACCAACCAAAGGCACAGTCCAGAGAGTACTGGCTGTGTTAAAGAAATCAGAAAATGAAATTCATTCACTCATTCAGCAGGTTTTTATTTGTTCAGTTAACTACCTTATTTTCTCTTATGGCAAGGACCACCAGAAATTTGTGACATATCAGTATTATTTGCCCAAAGTTCCCCAAACTTTGAGAAAGTAAACAGCCTCCCATAGAGCTGGCCAAGTTTAGGTACATAAGGATAAACACTATATGTGCTGTTGGCAACCCTTAATAACAAACCATCTCTTGTTTAATTATAAACAGTTTGATAGGCATTAGTTTCCCTTCTCTGATTACACATAAACATATACATACACTAAGTTGAACTTCTCAGCAATCAAAAATGAAAGTGCAATGAGCCATGAATGTTGGTACACAACCAACTATGCTACCTTGGGCAAATCACTTAATTTCTCTGTGACTCAATTTCCACACCTCTGAAATCAAAGATGATCGTAGCCCTATGATTTTATTATCCTCTGTACAGAGAAATGGGTCAAACACTTGAGATGACAATTCATTTTATTCTACCAGTGAATTCATAGTTACAAGATTTATACCCCACTGTTTAGTCCTGCCTAATACTCTTTTTGGAAATATTGTCTTTCAAAATACTTCAGAAAGCTTGCCACAATTTGGTTTCTAGAAGGCCAATGCAACCTATATATCCTGTTTATAAAAAGTTCTCTTTTCTTGCATTGTTCAACCTAAAAATCATTCCACTACTCTGTTACCTCAACAATTTTGAAGTAGAATACTGAATCTTTTGTTATTATGATGGGAAGTTTCCTACAATTCTGGGTTTATCTCAAGCAATGCTGTGGAAACACTCATACAATTGAAAACAGAAACTGCTTCACTGCTATTTTCATTGTATCTAATGAACACAGAGGAAAGGCTCAGATCCAAGGAAGAAAAGGTCATAATCTAGAACCTTAAGTGAACTACTTGTTACAAATTTTAAAGATGCAGTTTGGTTAAACACATTAAGCAGGATTGTCAAATATACTGAAGACATTTAAACATATTATGATCTTTCAAACAGTGAGTTTCTTAGGGTGTTTTACATTAACACAGAAGTTACAAGTAGGTATCGAAATGCAGAAGTGCGTGCTTACTAGCCAAGCCACAATACAGAAAGTTGTTGGTGTTACATGACATTGACCGAATTGCCCCTAAGCCCCAAAAGATTATGGTGGCAACAACACTGGTTCCAGGCATCAAATCCCCAGATATTGGTTCATCTTGTTCAAGGCATCACACACCGTGTTCAAATCACTGCGGAGGTCCTGCACCACATTTTCAACACTTCTGGTGTCTTTCAGAATTTCAATACTCTGTGTGTAGGGATTGAAGTATACTGAAAAGGGACGGGTAATTGACTTTGCAAAGTCCCTGCAGAATAAACAGAAATAGAAGAATATGTGATCAACCCCATTGTACAAGAGATTAAAAGAAGGAAGGAACAGAGACAGAAAAAACTTAAAAGTTATTTTCAATAGATGGAAGAAAAACATGTTTACCTCATTTTTTCTTTGGCTTCTTCAAAACTTTCTGAAACAAAGTAGGCTTCCTGGAAGGTGGTGATAAGACATTCCTGTAAGCAGGTTGTCTTTGGGTCAAAGGCTTTCACACAAGCCTTGTCAGAAAGAGCATGCTGCAAAAAATACCACAAAGCCTGTTCAACCACTATGAAATTTTCAATGTGCTATGACATCACATTTCTACAATACATCTGATAGCTCAGTAATCCCACAGAACCACTCGGTTACTAGTCTGCCATGAAATATAAAAGTCTCCCATGTGCAGGGTAAATTGGGTGTTAGGAAGTTTTTTGTTTGTTTGTTTTTCTTTTCAAAGTCTCTTAGGTGCTAAGTGAAAAGTGAGATTACAGTTTTATTTAATTTATTATTAACCAAATTCATGCTGAAGGACAGTTAAGAGCTATATCCCAACAGAGATGAAATTTCAAATCTGTGCTATGAATAGAAGCTTGTACAGCATAAATTCACTCCTAAATTTGTTGCTATAAGCAATGTACTGAAATTTCACTTAAATGGCAGAAGTAATAATTACCTGCATGGAGAGGTAATTGGGACTCTGACTGAACTATCTGTGGATTCACTGTGAGATGTTTTGAGGCCAGATACTATATATCAACAGTCTGGAGACAGCCTGAATACTTGAGGATGCTTGCAAAGCATTCATTTACCTTCCACCAAGTACAGCAGAGCAATATGCACCAGATAAATATTGCCAGTTTGGGAGAAAGAAGAACTAATATTAATAGTTATATAAATGCCCAAAGCAGGCATTAGAAAAACAGAAAAGCTGCTATAATTACTCTCTGAACCATCCATAGTTCCATTCAGCTCACTACATGACCAGCGCTAAAACAGCAAAGAAGTGTGAATGACTGTCTCCTCAAGATCAATTCAGTGATGTCAAAAGTCAGGGGTCATTTCTGTCCTATGCCACCTTTCTATTTATAGGCCCTAGATGGCTGGTTCTGAAACATAACGTGTAATGTACATAAAGATCATTGAGGGATTTATGAGAGTGTAAATACCCAGGCCTCCATTTTATTTAACAGGTCTGTATGAAACTCAGATACATGCATTTTAAAAAGCATCCAAGGTGACTCTGATATATATAGTTATGAAATATATCTTGAGAAATACTCCTCTACATTCTATCTTTAATTTAAGGGGTAAATTTGTTGGGAGACCAAGAAAGGGGGCAGTAGAATTTGTCTTGACTGAGCATTAGAATACAGAGGGGTAAACTCAGCACGTCATTTAGCTTCATGGAGCCTCACTTCCCCCAATCTAAGTGAGAGGTTTGGGCCAGATGGTCCTAAAGGCACTAATCCAACTTCTGGAATCCACCCAAAGCACTTTTCCACCTTCTCAATCTCTAACGACTAAGATTTCCTGGAAAAATTCCAAAAAAAAATCCTTTCTTGATCAATATTGTTGGTGCATCCCCCAACAATTTCAAAATGCATGCAATGATTTACAGCCTTCTGCAGGCTGTGGTTCCTTCCCTAAATTTGAAAATACAATTGAGAACCATTACCATCATATAAGAGAAGGGGCACACGGCTCACCCGATGTGTGATTTGCTTTCCTGCAAAGTTCCATTGTCCAGGTCAATGAATAAATGAATCATGGAATACAGAGGGCCTCTCAGAGTGAGCTCTTTTTTTTTTTTTTTTTTTTTGGCCCACAAAACAACTTCATTATTAAGCAGAAGGTCACTACACCTACAAACGCATTTGTGCTAGATTCAATGCAGTGCAATGAACATCAGGAGATTTTGGTTCCACGTGACCAGTAATTCTCTCCACATTTTTGAAACAACTTCACAGTTTCAAAAAACAAAATATCCTTTGATAAAAGCTGTTGCTTCTCTGCAAACAATTGGCTTCCTATTGGCTTGCCATGGTTTTTAGCAATAGAGGTAGCTTTCTCTGCAGCCATACACTATAGTTACTTTTAAGTGCAGCATGTTGCTCAAATTTTCTGTTCATCAGTACCCATGGAAGAAAGGACACAGGCTCAGTCAATTGTCTTCAATCATTCTGCCCTTTTGTCCCTGCATCAGGGGCACAGAGTAGTAGCAGCACTGAGTATAAGAACATTTAAGCCATGGCTCCCCTGGGATATCCTTGCTAAGCCAAAGTCTTTGCACTGGGTCAAGGACAAGCACAGAAAGGAAGTGAAACTTATAGTTTTGGGTCTCCAAGGCTTCCAGAGGATTTCAGCAACCTTATTGGACACTGTATGTAGAGGGTGCCTTTGGAATCTGTGTACATAGTAACAGATGGAAATCAGTGTGGGTACAGAAAAATTCATCATGTGACAATTCCACTAAATATTCAGATGACCATATTTAGTCATTTTATCAGGGAAAAGGGATAAGAGTAGGTCAAGAAAAGGCCCAGGCAACAGGGTGCCCAGCATCAGGTGTCAAGAAAAATCAGTAGGTTCACAGAATATACACTGCAGCAAAATCGTTAGACAACATAGATCACACATATCTGATGCGATGTTTAAGTAAGAAATTCGAAGTTGACTGTTTTCTGTGGTCAAAATGTAGTTGATTCTGAAGAATCTGTTATATATTGTCACTGCTGGTTACCTCAAAGGGTTCTCTCCACCCATAGAGTGTGGGACCAGTGTTACGCCTTGTCTGTTAATGAATATGCAGGTAACATTCACATATTAGCCGGAAAACTAACAAGAACCCAGAGTTAAGGAAACAGCTAGTAAATGAGACCAACAAAGGAGGAGGTGCCCACACCTGTGAATGGTCTCATCTGCCTGACCATGCACTCTCCTGTGCTATGACTGCCAGAAACATCCATGGCCCCCACAAGGTCTGTGTCTCTGAATACACGACTTTGTGGCCTAAGGGATATAAAATAGCATCCATGTCTCCCTCGATTCCAAAGTCCACTGTTGAATACACAGTTTTCTCCTCAACTCCTAGCCATGTGTCTCTGTAAGCTACCTCAGTTTTGGAGAGCAGCTAGTATACCCTACCCTCTATGTTCAGCGTTGTCGAAAAACATTAAGACAAACTAGTCCATGTCTCCTGGGGACTCTGTGCTGAATCCTTCCTGAAGTGTTAACCATCTGAAATCCTAAAGTCTGCAAGAATTAATCCAGCTTCCTGCAGAGAAAGGCCTAATAATGCTGACAGAATCTGCCTAAAAGTCTTTTACTCTCAAGCCACTGCAAATGTGCAGGAATGCCTTACAGTCACCTTCTCCTACCTGAACGTTATAAGGATTTTCTTGGATTTACCCATAGTTCTAACGATATGGGCACAGGACTGGAACCAGGAGACCTGGATTCTCACTGTGGCTCTCTTCAGGTCTGAATATATGATATCAAATGAGTGGAGCTACCTCAACTTGGTCTGTAGCTTTCCTCTTTAATAAACTGAAAAGATCGACCTACATGAATGCTAAGGCTGTTCTTACAGAACATTTCAACAGGGCCTATAAATACACAGCACTTACCCCACCACCCTCTGCCTCCACTCCAGCCAGTGCAAATGGACAGTAGCAGCCTTTTTCACTGGGCCTGGGGATGACCTCGCCACTCTTTCCCATACAGGTGGCCATTGCCAATTAATAGGCTTTAGTGGACAAATTAAGACTTACTTGACATCTCAGCCTATTAAAATATAGAAATCTCTTTTCAACATCGAAAAAATTTCCCATTACCCAACTGCTAATAGATAATACTGTTAAGAGTGCAGGTTTTTAAGACAAAGAATTGAGGTTCAAATCTGGCCCCATCCTTTTTTCAACTATGTAACTTGGGTAAATTACTTCAGTCTGCAATCCTATTATAATATTCATCCAGAAAATGAGAAAAACTAATGGTACCTAAAACCTAGGTCAGAATTAAATGAGGTAGTGTATGCAAATTCCTAGCATGGGAAGTACTCATATGTTTAGTTATCATTACTCGTTTAGTAAAGAGGATGCTTGGTGTGCACATGTATGCTGCCATCCACATAGGTCTAGTAGAACCCATGGAGGAAGAAACATGGTCTCAGTTATGAGATTTCCAAGTCCCAGACTGCAACAGGGCCTGCCCTGGCTCTTCAGCTTGAAATCTTCCTTTGTCCCAGGTTACCTGTCTTTGCACTGACACAGAATTATCACCTCAAGTACTCTAAATGTAAACCCTGTGATCCTCACTCTCTATATTAGGACTGGTTAAAATTTGGAAAAAAACTCAAGTGTTTTGTCAGGTTTATAGGTAGTTTGTGACCTAGATTCCAAACAAGAATTTGCCAACACTCCTACATTCACATCGGAACAACAGATGTACTTACATGTGTAAGTACATATGTACTTACATGTTTACCAAGGAAAACATGCCATAGATCCCTATTGCCAAATTAGACAATGATGCATCACACTTATTTTTTAATCAGTGATGCTAAGTCTTTATTGATTTGAATATAAGCGTCACAGGTGAGAGAACAACCTCCCTCTTCAAGCAATCCCTCATAAAGGTCAAAGAAACAATTCAGGAGTTTAAAGCTCCAAGTCCTCAAGCATTTGTTCTCTTATTGCTAACAGTTCCAGCTTCATGAAGGGAAGGGGAAGACAAAGGAAGATGTGAACCAGCTGAATAGTGTACACGTGTGGGAGCTCAGCAACCATGAGCTGTAACTCTGGCAAATGCCACGGACCTACTGGTGGCCTCAAACAACCTGCAAGTTCTTCGAGGCTCTTTTCCACAGCATGGAAGTAATTCTGACCACCTCCAAGAACTGCTGGAAGTAGCTGGTAGTAAATACAAATGATCATAATAAATAGAAAGCTGTTCTGAGAATGCTGATTAATAGCTATATAAAGGCAATATAATAAATTCACCATGCAAGGACATGCTAAAAGTAAAGCAAAAACAATTAAGAATTAAATTTGTTTAAACCACCAGCCTTGCCAAAATCTGAAAAGCAAAATAGATGTATTTTTTGTAATATTCCAGCAACTACTATGGGGTAGGTGCTAAGGCTACTAATTAAAAAAAACCTAAACTCTGCCCTAAAGAAAATAAAGAACTAGACTTTACCCTTAGCCATAAAAGAGAAGTAGAAACTGCCTTTTACTTGTGTGATGGATCAAATGTTTGAGATAAGACTCATAATTAATTGATTTGTAATCATTTCCTTACCGCCTACTGTGAACAAACTTCACTGTTGCCTCTCTAAGAGAACTGAGTTCAACAAAGATCCACACCAATCCCATTTTTAGAACTTTCTTACTAGACTCCATGTTCCTTGAAATCTTGAGCATCAGTTTTGTGTTTGTTGAATAAAATGAATGAATAAGCAAGCAAATAATAAGTGAAAAAATGATAGATTTATGTAGCTAGATCAACTCTAGAGTAGAGAGAAAACAAGTGTAAAATGAAAGACACATGTTAGACTGTGGGCAAATATCAATCAATTATCCTATTTTCAATGTGTTTTTCAAAGCCAGTTTTCCAGATGACTTAGTTCATGATTAACTGCTCCCCCCAGTGATGGAAGGTATGGAATAAAACCCTTTCTTGCACACTTTTGGAGCTCTTGCCAGTACAGCATGGAACAGATCATTAGAACAAAAGAAAGAACAACCACTGTGGGGGTAGGGAAATAGCCTTTATGATTATAAGATTTATATAGCTTTTACAAGATTTTCCATATATATCCCATTTCTGTATTTAAAAATAAAAATAAGTATTGTCAAAAAGGAAGGGGAAAATGACAGTTATCCTCCAAATTATAGATACATCCTTAGGAATTACTTGCCCAGTTCTAAAGAGCATCATCTATGCCTCAGGAAAATTTAGCCTCTTCCAGTACAAATTTTAGCCATATTCATGTTCTAGGAGAGAAGGTGAATCACAGATACATATAAAGACTATACCAAAGCTTCCAGCAACTTAGCTGAGAACTATATTTGGGCAGCAGTTAAAACAGCATAAAATATTTTACTGCGAAATGTAACTGCATTCAAAACTGTAAACATGTTTACACAGGAATTTTGATAATCTTATTAATAAAGCCATCCCCACATTGGGTCCAGGACTATCATTTCTTCACTCAAATAAAAGTTAGAAGTATTCAGAATTGTGAGAGGGCTCTGGAAACTCACAGGAACACCAAGAAGGGGGTATTAAGAAAGCAACTTGTATTATATATTCTCTGTGGACAGTCAGAAGATATTTCTTATAGAAAGAATTTCTAAATTGTAAAAATGGTCCAAAGTAGCAATGACAGGGATGCTGGAGTGTTGAAATTTGAGAATGGAAGAATGCTAATGACTTGAGTTGATGGACCAGAACGAGAAGATGCATGGCGGACAATGCCCTTCGATGTACATATTTTTGGCTGGTTTCCATTTCCAGATGATTCTGTCCACACCAATAGGAATGAAAACAACAGATTCACCCCAGTGCTGCCTATATATGCCTCATTAACCAGAGCAGAAGTCCTTGTCGAAAGTTGGGGGCCATGAGAGAGATTTGTTTCTTTTGTTTCTGGTATAATTTATAAACTATCTGAAGAGAATGTAAATAGATGTAGCTTAGGAGACACATCATTTCCAACTAACTTTTTTTTAGAGAAATCAAGAAGTACTCTGCAGAGGGCATGGTCTTATGAGAATATGACACCATGCTTTTGCTTTGAGTTTGGCCACAGCACTAAGATTGTTGAGAAATTTAATCTTAAAAAACATTTTACCACATTTCACAAAGTTTTTGTTATGTTGACCATCATCCTCTGTTCCAGCCATGCTCAGCCCATTCCCAAAATGGGCCAGACTGTAACGAGAGTTCAGGTGATACACACTCTTCTGTCTGCTGACTGTTTCATGCAGCCCATCCTTTCCTAAATCATCCTTCCTATCCCTCAAGAATCAGCATGGATAGGAGGGTCTTCATCAGGAGGTTTTCTCAGGCATGGCCTAAGATATGCCAGGCACATTTGTCATAGCTTTTCTATTATCGCATTGATTGTTTATCTCTCACGCTGGATGTCAAGTCCTCTATAGCAAGAATCCCAGGCAGTATAGCCTTTTAGAGAAGAGCTCTGGTCCAAAGGCTTAAACTGCCTGAATTTGGGCCCAGCTCCAACTCTTATTAGCTGTGTGACTTAGGCCAGTACCTTAATGTCTTTAGGCCTCTGTTTTTTACCTGTAGTAATAATATCACTCATGTCATTGGGTTATTATGAGAATTAAGTGGATTAATAAGTTTAAAGCACCAAAAACACCAAGGTCTCCTTAAGAGTTTGTTAAGGTTATTGTGTTATTTTCTTCATATTCTAATTCTTCATTATTATTATTTTTCTTTTTATCACCACTGTCTGGTAAAGTACATGGTGCATTATAAGAACTTCATTAAAGTTTTGAGGAATTAATTAATTAATGGAGTCATAAAACTACAGTGAAACTGTATCTTTCAAGAATACAAACAACAAAAACTATGTTTCTAATAACTACATTTCCAAATTATATTATGTTAAGATAATAATTGCACAAAATAAAAACTCCAGGATAGTCCATAATCCTGACTTTTGTAGGAATAATGGAATAAATATTAAACTAGTTCAGTACCATTTCCAGATTGTATATCACATTGCATTCTAAATTCATCAAACCCTGCTATCCCCCAGCAGTATATAGAAAGCAATTCTTAAAGGATGAGGATATTAAAATTATCAGCATGCTCCCAGATCCCACCATTTCTGAATAAATAATCATTGCACCAAATTAAAGGACAAATAGCATTCTTATGCACATATTAGATGCTTCCTTGGCAATATGCTTGTTTAGTTCATTTTTTCAATTGTATATGCTCATAAGTATTTAATATACATCCATTTTGAAGAAACTGAAACAATCTGAAGCTCCCCTTTGGGAAGTGGATGCTGGAGAGTCCATGGGAGTCATGGTGGTGACAGAAATCAGAGGAGCAAAGCCACCTCACAGATAAATTTCAATCAGTAGGATCACTGCTAACTCATTGCCCATTTTTCAACACTAAATTTAGGCCAGCCATTTGTTATCCAACATTTGTCACCCAACATTTGTCATTCCTGGTGATTTGTACACATGACTGCTCATCTATTTGAGTCACACCACAAATCCAGAAAGGCATGACCCATTTTCTGAAGTGCAAAAAGTTAGGTCAACACCCATATCTAAGGTGCCAAATCCTCTGTATTAAATATTTATGGGGTATCTGTGAGTAAAATGCTCAGACAAACAAATCAATATTTTCCATGACCTTGAACCAGTTTTCTCGGGAAGGATATTTTCATTTATAGTTTGATACCTTCAGTTCTCCAATGGAGGAAAGTAGTCCTGCTCCATATGCCCGCAGTTGACCTTCTTGCTTGCACAGGCCAAACTCAATTGTGAAGAAATAGCACTAAAAAGAAAAAAGACACACATCCATTGAACTGGTCAACAAATTCTTCAGTAGAATAAAATGGCATCCAAACTAAACTGCTGCACTCTACATAATTTCATCAACATTATCAATTTAAATATACTTAAATCAAGAACACTTATAGAAAACTGTTTGTTTACTTAATAATCCTTCCCTAAGTTTAAGTATATAGAAAAGTATTAACTATTAAGAGTCTTTTTGTTTGGTTTGGTTTGGTTTGGTTGGGGTTTTTATTGTTTTGGTTTGGGTTGTTGGGTTTTAGGAGTTTTCTGAGACAGGGTCTCACTATACAGCCCAGGCTGGCATCCAACTCACAATCTTATTGCCTCAACCTATCAAGCAAGTATTGGGATTAGAGGCACAAACTGAGCTCACTACTAAGAGTCTTATACTTCCTGGATTCAGAAACTCTATGGAAACTCTAAATTACCATAAACCCTATAGTAATTTTAAAAATTAAAAATCAGATTTAGAACTGAGTGCGCATATAACAGTAGCATAATAAGACTGTTCTACTGTGCTTACTACATTGTGTTTCTGTGACATAAATAGTTCATGCAAATGTGAAAAAGTAACTTGGAATCCAATCATCTCAAACGATCTTTTCAGTTGGCTAATTCATTCAACAAACATTTGTTGAATACCTACTCCGTGCTAATGCATGATAAAGAAGTGTGACAAAGAAAGCAAATATATACTACCAAATATCGAAACCATTAGTGTATTTTTAGTAAAATCTTGAATGTATATTTATGTAGGCATATGTGTATGCATTGTGTGTATTTACATGTGTACAAATTAGTCTAGGTTTTATCAGCGTCAACTAATGCAGCTTCCCCCAGGGTACTAAATCTGCAATTGCTTCTGTTGTGTTTAAGAAGTTAACATAGACTAGAGCTGGAGGTGTGGCTCAGGTGACAGCATCCCTGCTAGCAAGCAAAGCATAAGGCCCTGAGTTCAAACCTTAGTAGCTCCTTCCAAAAATAAGCAACCTAGACAGACAGAAATCTCTGCACAACCAACAAAACTTCACGATGCTGCTGAGGAGCTGAAATCACACTGTTTTTACTCTGACAGAAAAGTGAGAAGCTGACAATGAGCAATAAAAATTGCATCAAATTAGCACTGTCCTGCCCCAGTGATGATAGAGCAGGGAAGGTGGTAAGAAAGAGGAGAATTTAAACACTCCTGAAAGGGGGCAGAAAATTATTATTATTTCTAGCTCATGGTAGTTTTTTCTATTTTTTTATTTGGAGGTTAAGATGTCCCTTGGTTCAGGAGGGCTTTATTTGTTTTTTAATGTGGGGGTGACCTCTGAAAAAGAGAGGCCCGATGCTCTGCAGCACTGAGCTGGACCCAAAGGAGTGGTCGTTTCCAGGTCATGGAGCTTAACCTCCACAGCCAATAATCTTCTTTACTGAATCACCTCCCAAAGAGACAAAAATGACAGCTATCTTTCCATCACTACCACCACAGCAACCCTGCACTCCTCTTTACTCTGTTCCACATTTATTTTCTCTCTTTTTTCCAGCATACCACCTTCTAACAGGATCTATAGTTTCTTTATGCATGATATGTATTGTTTGTCATCTGTCTCCCCAGGCAATAAATGCCATGGTAGTAGGTAGCAGGTATCTCTTTCTGTTGTACTTTTTGTTTTGGTGTGTGTGTGTGTGTTTGTGGTGCTGGGATCAAACCCAGGACTTTGCACAGGCTGGACCTTCTACCACTGGGTGCACCCTCTGCCCCTCTTTCTGTTCTTTAAAACAAAGTTTCCCAGCTTCTACACTACAGTAATCCCAATAAATCCTCCTCAATTTATTGTATGCAGTTTTGACCAAGCATGGTCAAAAAAAAAATAATAAATTTTTTTTAAATCAAAAGGAATTTCAAAAAAATTGTTTTAATTCCTGCTCAGGCATTTTGCAGTTCAGTTGATGGGGAGAAGCTCTCAGTTCATCCTGCTTTATCAATTGTATCGAAATTGTTGTGTTGATCTGCCTTCAATTCTGTGAAAATCTACCTCTAAAAAGCAAATGGTGCCCAAAAAACAAGGTCAAAGTTAATGTGCTTAATTTAAGAGACACAGTGAAAATCTTAGCTTTGTTGAAAGGCAGCATATCTTAGTGGAAGTTGGGTGGTAATAGGAAAAATGAATCAAGCATCCACAATGTAGCACTCTACAAATGCATCCTGAGCATTTGTAGTTTTTCTTCAATGGTGGTCTCCTTGGAAACACATATTGCCAATATCAAGGGTCTTTTGTACTGGCACATTTGGCTATGCAATTCTTTGTTTTGGGAGGTTGTACTGTGTGTCACAAGATGTTTGCCAGCAACATTGGCTGCTACCCACTATGTGCTGGCAGCATCCCCCACCCCAGTTTTAAGAACAAATATTGCCAAGTGTTTCCAGGAGGCAATAACATCCTTGTTTGAGAACAACTGATTTACAATAGTATCTGAAACAATAAAATTTCAATTAGTATTTGGTGGATAAACAGTGAATGAGTGAATGAATGAATCAATGAATGAATGTTGTTAGTCTTGTGTGTTGTCTAAAAGAACTGGGGGAAATAAATGTACTGGGGGGTCTGAGTTCTAGTTTGGGCCCCACTTCTACTTGGCTGTGTAATTACACCCTCTCTAGACTAGTTTTCTTGACCATGACACCCATTCATCTTCCATTCATCTATTCTACAGACACTTCTTCAGCAACTAATATATGCCAGATTCTGTTCTAAAGCTAAGGATATGCAATGAACCAGGCAACCAAGTCCCTAGTCCTATGAAGATACATGCTGTTGAGATGAGACAGGCAGCAACAACAACCACCAGTGGACAGGATAATCTCAAGTAGAATATAATCTACAGGTAATAAAACAGTGTATCAGATATTAAGCAGACAGCATGATTATTTTATTTAGAGTGGTCAAGGAAGGCCTCTCTGAAGGAGTGATATTTAAACATAATCTGAAGCCAGTGTAGAAGTACATACCTGTAATCCCAGCACATAGGAGGATGGAACAGGAGGATTGAGAGTTCAAGGCCAGCTTAGCTACATACTGAGACCCTGTCTCAAAAAAAATTAATTAATTAAACTACAATCTGCAAATTTTCAGTGAGACATGAAAAGGACAGTACCACAAAGATCTAAGCGGAAAAATGTTCTCACTGGAGGGAACAGCAAGTACAAAGGTCTTGAAGCAGAAATCAGTTTGCATTTCCAAGGGCAGTGGAAAGTCACTGGACAGTTTTGAACAGGAGATAGGTATGTTCTGACTTAGCTTTTACCTGATCATGGCAGTGCTATGAAGAACAGATTGTGGAAGCAGCAAAACCAAGTAGAAAGGAAGGCCAGCCATGAGACCAGATTGGCCAGTGAGCAAGAATGCACAAAAAATCTTCCTGAATAGCTATCTTTATCTCAAACTAGCAAAATCACCATGTTTTTCTTATTATCTTTTATGTTTCTGTTCAACAAAATTGGAGAACAAGAGGGCGGAACAGGTTCTGGGGGGTAACACAGGGGAGGGGAGGTGGTCCAAATAATGTATACACATGTAAGTACATGTAAAAATGATAAAATAAAATTTAAAAAAAGAATATGACTTGGGCCAGTGATGTCAGAGCATTACAAGTCAGTCTCGTCCCCATGAAGGCCTCACAAGAAGAACAAAGTCAAGAGATATAAACATGTTGAAAAGTTATGTTGAAAATTAAAATACAACCCACAAGTCTCCCTTTCAAAAAAAGAATTTGCACAATGCGGGCACAGTGAAGAGAAGTAATCACATAGTAATAGAACAAAAGGCTTAGCAGACACCTGGAATCCCAGCACTTTGATTTTATTAAGAAGAAAATTCAAGTTTAGGAAGATGAAGTGATTGATTCAGGACCAAGAGATCTAGAGCTCAGTCTTTTAAACAGCTTTAATCAACATCTGTCATATATTAAGGTGTCTAGATTGAAAAGTTAGTAGATGCAGCATTTTCCTTTATAATCAAAGACTGAGGGAATAAAAATCTAAAAATGAGGAAAACTAGAGTCTCACAGTATCTTCTTAGTGTGTCTTTGGGTGATTTTATTGTAGCTCATTTATAGTACATGACATGACATCCTTGGAGCCTTAACAATGAAAACAGAAGAGTTTGTGGGGGAAAAAAAATGTGCTGTCATATTCAAAAGCATCCAAAATATGCATATGGAGCCAGCTACAGGAGCATTGTGGTCAGCTATTAAGTGCATTTTGAATTTTCCTTATGCTACATCACTGCATACATAATGCATAGGCATGGTCATAATCCACATCAAAGCAGGCTGAGAAGGCCTCTGAGAAGATCTGGTATGCCATTCACATAGTTACCGTATGGATTTGGCCTCCCATCCTATTTTGTAGCAGGAATTTAAAGGTCTGATCAATTTGATGAAAGATTCAAAACTAAATCTATCATCCAGTGTGTCTTCAGTTAACGTGTTTCAAGGCAACCTGAGAGGGAAAAACCACTGTGCCTCCTCCTTCCCATGGTTCAGAATGCTCTCCAGGCCCTTTACCTCATCTGGGAGTCCTTCCAGAAACTCTGACCTTACACAGCTCCATCTGCTCCTTCTCTGTCTACCTATCCCTTTGGATTCCTGCCTTTGTCAACCAAAGAAAGCCCCTAGATGCTGCTATTGCAGCCTGCTGTCCTCAAGGATTAGACCTTTTGCTTTGAGACAATTTTCCATTTGCAGCTCTGTATGTGGCTGACACAAATGAGAAATGGTAAATTGCACCTGAAAGTCAAGTGCTGGCAAAATTTGAATTATGAACTTGCTCAGGGTAATTTTTTTTTCTGTTTTTAATGCTGTTGAAGACCTCAATTAGATCACTAATGGGGGGTGGGGAGGGAGAATGACCAAAGTTTCTACTATCTGGTTTTATATGAGAAGTCAGCTTACGAGTTGAACTGGATGGCCCCTGGAAGACCCTTCAGAACT